GAATTCATATTATATTAGTATAATATAAAGCGCTAGCGCCCAACCAGCTTTCCGCCTCCATTTGGTCGTGCTGCTATGATGTAACGTGCAGTCGTCCCGAGGCATTTTAGGGCCCCCCATTTTCTCTCCCTTAAAGTCCTTTATGGATTTCAAGTCGGGAATAGAGTTGTGACTTATTCAGCGCTATATCACAATTCATTCATTCTCGTGCATAGCTGTTCACGAAACGTGGCATGGGACATCTGTCGGCGGCGGGTGAATTCCGAGCGAGAGGTCAAACCAATCCCATTCATCCTAGACTGATCCGAACGGATCTTGTTGAATGAATTGATCCATTGTTCTATTCCCTACTTCTTAGTTCATTTTTTCCTACTCGGACCCGCCGTACTTCCTTTGACTACTCCTGAGATATAGTGGAAACATTTTGTTCTGGTGGAGAGTGGGGAGTGAAAACACCAATGCAGCAGAGAACGACCACATGAATCGGAATCCGCTTTACTTCTTAAGACAGACGACCGAGAAAGAAAGGCTCCACGTTCTCCAAGTGGTTGATCTTAGCTTAGCGTGCTAGCCGCTGCTTCATTTCGTATAGTGATAACGCTTTCTCTTTCTTAGCGCTCCGCCCCCTTGTATAGTAAGGGGAACTTTGGTTGCACGACTTTATCTTATACTTATAGGGGTCTATTTCTCTGACTTGACTCAGCTTGACCTACTTGACTCAGCGGTTAGAGTATCGCTTTCATACGGCGAGAGTCATTGGTTCAAATCCAATAGTAGGTAAAACCGACCGAAAGCCCCGCTTTTGCCAGCATGACAGCAAGCACGGACTGGCAGCAAGGAGTCAACTGAATGACCAAAGCATCGGTTGCTTCCACTTGTGGCCTTATTCGAGCGCCTTGACACCTTAATATCAACTCACCCCCTCTTCCACAAGTAGGTGGAGACCAGGAGAGCCGGAAACCCCAACGGGAACCCTTCACTGCGCCACACGATTCTTTCGTGAAGCGCTCTCTCAGACGTTTCCACTCCTGCCCCCGCAAGCGAAGAGGTTTCAAGATACCAGTCGACCGAGTGAAAGTGAACAGCTCCGAGCAAATCTTCTAGAGAGCGTACCCTTTGTTTCTACTCTTTCTCTCTTCTAAAAAGAACTCAAAATCGAAAAAAGAAAAAGTTTCTTAACAGTCAGGAGTCCAGTATAGATGTAGGTAGAGGGTCATCTTCGTTCCCTGAATCTGCTAGTCAGTCATCATTCAGTGAAGAGTCCTAAAGCATACCAGCAGTGAAGTGAACCTCTTAATTCAAGTGCAGTTCGATGATCTCGTGCTAAGGGCACTGAAAGCCAGAAAAAATATCTATTGACTTTCTTGGATGGAGATCCAGTTCTTAGCTTAGTAAGATAATCGACTAGTCGCATAGCATGCTGGTAACATGATCATTGCTTACTATTATTTTGGCACTAACTCAGGAAGGGAAGACATCCCACACCTCATAGACCTTTATCCAGGGTGGAGAGCACTGTCGAACTTAACACTTAGGAGCTCTTTCCCTGTGTGAAGATCCTTCAAAGAAATACAAAAATGATCCTAAGTGTTTTGAAGTGGTGCTCATATCTCTTAAGGCTTCTTACTCTCTCAGTCTTCATGATCAGACATGCATTCAAGCCTTGATAATCATTCTGCCCGCCATTCCCAAAAGAGGGAAATGGCTCAGATTCCTCATATTACAGGCCTTAAACTAAATGTGGATGGTTCTGCTATTGACTTAAATAGTGCAGTAGGTGGCTGCATTAGAGAGTCGGTTTAATTGTTTTAGCATTCTCATGCAACTTTGGTCAGGGCAACAGGAGGCTGAGGCTAAAGCCTTACTCCAGGGCTTCTATTAGCTAATCAGTTTGGCATTCCACTTCTTAATTACAAAGTTCAGCTTGAAAGCCAATCGATCAAATTCCTCTACCTATAGCTCCAGATAACATGTAGAAACTTTCTATTAGAAAGGCATTTTAATGTTCTCACTTTTTCCTTCGTAGACTGAGAGATCCATTAGAAAGTAGGTATCTCGCTAGTGTCAAAATGAGACTTTCACTCTTTCCTTCTATGAGGACCCTTCAATGGCAAAAGTTTCTATCTCATAGAGTATAAGGGCAAGCTGAAATCGTATTGATGCTTTTAAGGCTTTCAGCACTAAATCGATCCTCATTCTCTCTTCTATGAAAAGGGACCTAAAGGTTGGGCTTCTCGGGTCACTTAGTCTTTTTTTTCAGTACCTCTCTTAAGCTTTACTGGATTTAAGAGTAAGAGATAGGCTCTTTCCGTCTTTCCGATGGTAGTTGATAGAGGAAAGGGCGATACACTTTTCTTATCTTAAAGGAAAGGTTTGAGGGTTAGATTCCAGACCCCTACTGACGAAGAGGCCAAGAAAGAATGAATTGACTAGGACAGAGGGAGAGGCGGTTTATTTCGACAGCTAGAGCTAGGAGAAAGAGGTCATGGTGGAGATAGGCTTCGAAGCCAAGGAAAGCTTCGATCTAGGAAGAGGATAGGCGAATAGAGATGGGCGAGACCCTTGACCTATAAGTGAAACCGTCCCCGCTAGATGATTACTGATTCTACTATACTATAACCCGTATTTGCTTCTCTTATTCAATTTCTGACTGATATTCCAATTCTTGATATTCCTCTAACTCTAAACCTGCCTATTCTCTGGTACATTAAAAAATTGCCTTCTATTGGGGGCATCTTCCCTTGTCTTGTCTATGATAATAATAGATTTCAATTCGACCTTTATTGATTGAACTGATCTTATTGAATCGATGGGCGGAAAGGAACCTACCGATTCTGCTCCCTACTAAAGGGGCCCTAAGCCAGCGGATCTTGCCCCCTTGTCCGGGTCGATACCATCCTATCTTCTAAGTGACAGACTTGAGAATGAATTTCTAAAGTTGCTTCTCATCTATGTAAAAATGAGACTTTTCTCTCGACCTCTTTAATGCCTAAAAAAGATTTGTCTTATCTCAAGCATGTGAAAAGCCCCATCCCATCTAGCAGCAGGGTGGAGAGCGAGACTGACCATTAATTCGACTATTCTAGAGCCTATTCTAACTCCACTATACAACAAGGTCCTACTACTTGTGTGAAATCAGTCGCTTGAGAGCTTCGGGCTAGGTTATGGACGAGAGGTTAGGTCACATTTCCGAGCGATTCAAGGAGAGAGCGATGACAGTGACTTTCTCCTAGCTAAGAAAGGTAATCGATCCCCTTTCCCGGATGGAAAAGTTCGACCGATAGGGAGAGAAGGCGTTGGTGAGGCGACCGGAAGGCAGTTTAGTTTACTGTTAGAAAGCGAGAGTAGCTGTCTTTAGGGTGCTAGTTCCCTTTCTAACAAGCTGACCGGAATAGCTGCCCTCGCTTCTAGTCCCACTTGTAGCCTGATCGGGACTTCTTTCTATCTTGCTTGAATTCCAACCAACTTTTCTGACTCTAGTTAGTAGCTCTAGACTTTCACCCCCTTGAAATACCTTATCTTGCTGTAAGTGAATTAAGGTACTTTACTTGTCTCGTTAGAGAAAGGCAGCGAAGTAGAAAGCGAAGCTGGAGCCTTAGCTGCCTTGTCAAAGGAAAACAAAGGTTGAGCCAAGCTACTTGGTAACTCTGGGTCCCATCCGTCCTACCAAGAACTCGAACCGCCAACTCCGTTCACTGCATTCTCTCCAGAACTCCAGTTTGGCTTGATTACTGGAACTCAAAAGCCCTAGCTTCTCTTACCTTCTAGAACTGTAAGGGAATTTCGGTAGTGAGGAACTGTCCCTCATGTTCCCTGCCTAATCTGAAAGACTAGCTCAGGTCAGAACTCATAGCTCAAACTCAACAGCCTAGCTTTGCTACAGAACTATGATCTACGACCACCCTCTCTCATCCGAAGCCATCATAACATAACATATGTATCAACGATTCCAAAAAAGGACAGGAAATTGGATCCATCCCTGGAGGCATAGGCATAGACGAAGAAAGCAGAAGCATATGGGTAGATGAAAGCAAGAGCAAAGGGGATTGAATGAGGGATGAATCTTCTGAACTGCTTGAGAGCTGGAATATTGGGATATCCCGACTTCCCATTCTTATACCCGCTTTGAAAGGTAAGATATCGACCTTTGATGGGGGGCTCTCACAGGTCTACTCGCCAGTGTCTTCCTTCCACAAGTTCTACCTACGCTTCCCGGTTATAAGATCTCATACGGAAGAAGAGCCTGTAGGATCATTCATCATCCTCAGCAGCTTGAGCAGGCTCCTCAATGGCTTGGATAGCCCCTGAAGTAATATCCTAACGTGTACTCAAGAACACAAGAAAAGAGCTTTTAAATGGCCTTCTTTTTTTTGATCAAAAAGTAGTGTTTTCCCGTGTTTTTCGGCCATAAACTAGAGAGTTAGGTTAAAGGTAAGCCGGCTAAGAGGACTAGGAGCTTAGCTTGCTGGCGAGAAAGGGTGAGTGTTCAGTACTCTCTTTAGCCTTTAACAAGGGCTAAGCCGCTAGGAATGGCTTGCTGGCCTGTTGGGAGAGTGGAACGAAGTGATTCTCGTTAGAGAAGCACGAGTCGAACGGCTTTAGTGTCAGTAGGTGCCTAAATGAAGCGATTAAGCGTCGGGGGCTTTGCTGGCTAGCTCTTGCAATCAATAAAAAAGGATTCGTGTTAGTAAGCTAGCTTTGTAAGCTAAGCAAGCCTGGTTCTCCGGGCACTACGGTAGGACGTGGATCGACCATGACGAGAATGGACTTCTCCATAATGTAATAGAAGAGTCACAGTCCAGTTCCACGGGCTTTCTCCCTTCTCGACCAGAAGGAGATATGAATTCCATTCAGGCGGGTAAGGGCTTGGCTTGACCCTGTGTTCTCTCCTGGTCGGGTCGGAGGCGAAAACTGGCAAAATTCATCATTCAGTGGTGAGGTGTTCGTAGAAAAGAAGGCGTCGCCCAACGAGTGGCAGATTTTGATGGAGTCTCGCTTGGATGCTGGGGAGATCCATAGATCTGGATAGAGTCCCCGGATTAGTACGCGCGCTAGCAAAAGCTAGCAAAAACGGTCTGTTTTCTTTCATCGGTTTTTGTCTGATGAAGATTGATACATGCAGTAAACTATAATTCTGTTACAACAGCAAGTCAGAGAACGACGCCATCAACAAAAAAACCCAAATGCTATGTTGATTTTATTTCTAGGGTTTTAATTTTGAGATTCAAATCATCACTTTCGGATGTATTACTTTGGTCGTCTTTCTGTGCGCCTTCTCACTCTCCCCAGGTCTCCTTCTCCTGCCTTCGGATATAAATGTATTGCTTTGATTTTATCCAGCATTCATTGTGTTTTTTTGTTTCTTTACTGATCTCTAATGATTGATCTTCAAAAAAATCGGTGGATCGACAGTGGGTCTTAAGAGCAAAGCAGCAAAGCAAGAGTAAGTATTTATACGTTCAGTTGTATTTCGGCTTCCTTTTCTTCTTTAGACTTATTCGATATTATTTTTTTTGGTTTTTTAGTAACTCTTGAAAGACATGTATCAGATCGTAAGAAGCTATCAATGTAGAGCTATGATGGGTCAAGCACGGGACAGTCTTCCGGAGAAGACAGTGAAATCATTTTATAGTGCGTCGTGTTGATCCCCTTTAACTTTGAACTTATCTTTTTGTTGTTTTCTTGGATTAGAAATGTGTTCTTGGTGAATGATGGCTTTATACATAATGTCAAACCTGGAGACATATTGTGGGTTGATGGTAAGAGTGACACATTTGTAAAACATTATGTACTTATCATTATCATTGAATGATGTCATTAAAATCAAGGATACATCTTAAAGTGCGTGGAAAAAGTGCAATTTGCATTCAATAACATGTTTACTTTCATGTGCTTATATTATAATTAGTTTAAATTTATTTTTTGTAGGGTATTTATCGTTGTTTTTATTGCAAGATGAGTTTGCTTGATTTACAGGTAAGGACTGAGAAGAGTTTGACTTTTTTATGTAGTTAGTGTTGGAGCATGGTGTTCTCAACTACTTTTAGACATGGCAATTTTCAACGCTGCGAATCCCAGTGTATTGGAAGATTTAGTTAGGTGGCATTCACCCCAGATTGGGAGCCAGATTTTTAAAGTAAAGAGTCTATTGATGGTGATGATTCGTCTTCTAAAGGACACCTCAGTCTGCCTATGCAGAAAGAAGGTACATATAATATATACAAACTTAATGATATATATGTGTGTCGAAATGATGATGATGTGTTGATGTTCAGAGAATTTATGGAGAGAGATTTGGAAAACTGCAAAACCAATGTTAGCCTTTAAACAGTCACCATTGTACGATGATGATGTGTTTGTATTTAAGTGATATTTGTTGATTTTTGTCTTTGAAATCTTGAGTATGATCCGATGAAAGGTGAATGGTTGTTTGTGTATATTTGTAGGGAAGGCATTCTTTATGGGCTAGAGAGATTTCTTTGAACAACTATATGTTTCTTTGAAGTCATGACTCCACACATTTTTACCCCTTTTCATTGATCATCTTTTTTGTTGTTATGGTTATGCAAGTCATGAACATTTTTTGTGTTATTGTAGTTAGTAAATCATAATTATTATTCTGATCCATAATATCTTTGGTAGTGTTTGGCATGATGAAATAGGAGACAAAATGGAATTGTTCATTCCATTTGAATGGAAATACATTATTTTTTCTCCAAAACACATGTTTGTTTTACATGATGGAATGGAATGGACCATTCCATAAAGAATATGATTCCTTTCATTAAGCTAATTTTCATCCTTTCCATGATGGAATAGAATGAAAGAACATAATATAAACCAACTTTTTTTTTTCTTTTAGGACTTTCCAAAGCAAATATAACTTGATCTACCACGTATTTTAAGATGCGTGGATGATAGAGATGAGAACAACATAGTCATGACAGCCAACAAACCATATTCAATCAACGCAATACACAATAGTCAATAGATAGATATTGTTGGACATTTATAATTAATTCTCACCCAGAGAACGTTCATAAACATTTTGCATATTATCTTAGCATCTACCCATACATATATGGAAAAAATGAATATATCCCTAAGAGTATATAAGCTTAGGTACCCAAACTCACCATATTAAATTCTTTTTGTAAAGTTAGAAATTTGTTTTCTCATATAATTAAAAACACTGACCGATAGTCAGGGTTTGTTTTTCTTTTCCTAAATTCTTTTTTATCCGTATTAAATGCCAACATTTAGTTGACAGTTTTATATAAATCAAGAATTAGTATTTGGTTCAAATAGCTAAAGTGTTTGTAGAATTAATATTTTCTCATCAACCAGCTTTTAACCGTTATTCTTGATTTTATAAAAATTTCATTTAAAAGGCGCAACATAAATGGAGATCACCATTAAATACACACAAGGGAAGAGTAAATTTGTCTTAATTTTTTCGTGCCTGATAGTTAGTCAATATGGCTGAATATTGATAAATCCATAAAACTCTATGTGTAACTTTCGTTCTCATTTTCTGTTTCTGGACGATTGATACACTGAACAACAGCAATGGGGACAAACTATATTATTCAACTTTCAATGTTAAAGTCGGATTATTGCACTTTTTTTTTTTCAATTATAACTTTCATGTAATGCCTGCTTTATTGTGTTTGTGTTTGTGTGCCTATTTGAATGTAAAATAAATAAACACCGTCCACTTATATCAATGTACTTCCAAAGTACAATACTTATGCTTATTATATCATATGCATTTTTATTTTGTCCCATTTGTTGCATTTAAAAAAAAAATTGCTATTATCTCAAGGAGAGTCATAGATGCAAAAAAATACTAGTAGAAGTGTTTGCATATGATTAATGACTTTATTTTTGATTTATTAACCGTGTACCACATGGTTATAACTAGTTTATTTAATAGGGAGATCAATCTTTCTTTCCCGTCGATCTCTCAGCCGTCACAAGCGACAAGCGACGTCTTTAGCCATCGACAGCCGCCGTCGAGCCTGCCCAACCTTGAGCAGTAAAGTCGCGGTTCCATCCAGCCTTGTCCATAAGCGTATGTTTTCCGCTTTTCGTTTTGTAACCAGACCTCCTAGTCGTAAATTGTTGCTTTTCATTTGTTTATTGCTATACAATACTGTTTATATACGACTATACCATCTCTAATGTGTTGATTTGATTTTTGGAGATGCACTTGGGTGGGAAGAATTAGGGTTACGTTTAATTTTGGGGCTTTACGAAATCTACATCGAGTGTTTTCTTTACTTTAGAGTTTTTAATTTGTTTTGGTTTAACACTGTTTAGTTTGTTGAATGATTAGCAATAACGATGATTTGAGGGTTTTTTTATATCTTCATCTGAACCTTACAATGTTTGTTCCTTAGTCTTTTCACAGACAATCTTCATCACCAACATCTCCATCTCCATCTCCATCACCACTTTGTTAAAGGATTACTTGCTATGGGTTTCAAAATCTTCACTCATGAAATCCATACAAGTTATGCTGCTCGAATGGATAACTTTAGAAGCTATGACTCCATAAGTAAAAATATAATTCTACTCTTCACACACGCTTTAGTCAATAATCCCACCAAATCAGAAACACATGTCACATGTAACAACATAATACAATCACAATTTGGCCCATTTACTTGCATTGGGGAGGACACGATTATCGGGGATAAAACGGTAATTTCAAATTCAGTTGTTGGGGATGAATATGATGATAAGATTTTTGAGAAAGAGGTTGAAGCAATCTTTTTAAAAGGGGTTCATGAAAATGTAAAAGTTGAATATATTTTCCATGAAATGCAATCACTTCGGTTGTCTTACAATATGGATATTGGGAAATGTGGTGGTGCTTTGGTTTATTCCATGATGAAATTGGCACTTGATACTTCAAATAATTTTGGTAATTCTTTTGTAAAGGAAACGGATGATGTGATATCACAATGGGGGAAATTGTTGAAACGGTATTTGAAAGGTGGTATTGATGAAGAAATTAAAGTGATATTGGAATTTGAGAAAATGTGTTTGGAGTATTCAGCTTTGTTGTTTGTCCAGGTTTTGCAAGTTTTGTATGATAAAAATATAATTCAAGCCCAAGCGATTCTTAATTGGGCTGATGAGAAGGAAGGAACATGTGGATGAATTAGAAAGGTTTAGGTAGTGTTTGTTTTATGTTTGCAGATCTGCGTGACTTTTTCTGTCTGCGCCGCGCAGACCACGCGCAGACATTAGCCTTCGCAGACTGTTTGTTTTTGTAAAGACTGTAGAGCTAAAAATGTCTGCGCGCACTCTTCTTGGCGCAGATGTGGACCAGAGTCTTCTAACATCTTCAAACATCTTCTAACCTAAAAAAACATATATATCTTTATTTTTTTTAAGTTTTTTTTTATTTTATATTTTTCCAACTTTATTAATGATAAGCAATTTGAAAAAAAATTTACAAAACTTAAAAAAAAATCGTTCGACGATACAAACATGATATTTTTGACAAATTTATAAATAAAGATTTATTACAATAATAGTCGTTGAAGTTGTTTATATAAATATGAAAAAAAAAATCATAATATATTCTTATATTTTTTTTGCCAAATTTTGTAAAACATTATTTAATACTGTATCGTCAATTTCTCGAAAAAATATTTATGGTACGTTTTTAATGGATTTAATTGAAAAAATCGAAGTTTATTTCTATCCATTTATGTATCAAATTCTTTGATCACTAATTATAATGTTTAGTTATAACTTTGCAACCAAAGTTATTGGTTTTATCAAATATATACGTTAATTCATACCATTTTTATTTTTATTTTTTATACAATAATACATAAAAGTTGATCTAGATTCATTAATTATTTATAACAAAGTCATAAAAATATTAAAAAATCACTTTGAAGCTTAAAAAAATCAGTTTATTTAGATTTCAGTTTATTTTAGTAGCCCGCAGATGTTAAAAAAACAAACAGTCTTCTTTTTTCAGACTACAGACGTTTGGTCCGCCTCTTCTACTACAGAGGTCTACAGATGTGGTCCGCATACCGCAGACATTTTGCCTCAGAAAAAACAAACAACACCTTATTAACCGCCTCAAAGAGGAGAAAAACAAAATTGCAAAAATAGTCACTGTGGTATGCATATTTTTTTGGGGTTTTGGTCCAAACCCCGACTTTTTTGGATTGGCGGTCCTTTTGGCCATGTTTGTATGTAGATTTGGTGCCTCGTAAAATTGAAATGACTAAATTGCCCTTACTAGATTTATTTTCCATTTTTTTTAAAAGTATTTTTATATATTAAATAATGATAGTCTCTCTCTCTCTCTCTCTCTCTCTCTCTCTCTCTCTCCCCAGACCAACTTCCCCCTCCCCCCCACCTTCTTCATTTACGATCAAGAACACCCCACCGGAGGTGGAGCTGTTTTCCGGCCACCAAGAAACACTGTTGCCACCATCCATCTTTCCACCTCTTTGAATCACATTGTTAACCCCAAATTGAAACTCGGAGGAATGGTGGGTCGCAGGTGGCGGACTGCAACGATGATGACGGACTGTAACGACGGTGGAAGGGCAGCGACAACGATGGGTGGCTGCGGTCGGTGGCTGTGGGCGACCTTGCTGCTTCATTTCTATTGGCAAATGCTCGACGAGGGACCAAGACGAAGCAACAACGACGATGACGTTTGGTGATGGTGGTTTACGAAAAGTATGGAGGCGTTTGGTGGGTGGTGGGTGGTGGGTGGTGAAGTGGGTTTTGCCAACATTCACAACGGTGGTGGGTGGTGAAGTGGGTTTTGCCAACGGTGGGTAGTGACGGAGCTGTGGTGGCAGCTTCACTGCCTTCGTTTCCTTTCTTTTCAGTTGAGCTCGATTACAGAGAGGGTAGGGAGGAGCAAGGCTATGGTCCGGAGGTGTTTGGGAAGGGTGTTTTGCTGGTGGTGGGTCACGACATGGGGAGGTGGAGGAGGTGTTTGAAAAATTAGGTGAGTTAAGATGGTGGTGGCAGTTTGCTCCGATTAGTAGCAAGAGGGGGAAGAACACGGTGGTGTAGGGTGGTGCCTGGAAGCTTGCTCGACAGAAACAGTAAGGGAATGGTGGTGGGGCTCGACCAAGAGAGAAGAGGGTGGTTTCCGGTGGGGTTGTGGTGATCTATGGCGACAGTCGTGGTGGTGAGATGCCTAGACCGGTGTTACAATCACCGGTGATTTCTTTCTTCAACTGGAGAGAGAGAGAGAGAGGTGGGTCCCATAATTTTTATTAATAAAACTTTATATTAAATAGAAAAAAACATAGAAAATGTATCAGAAGGGTATTTTTGTCTTTTTAATTTTACGAGGGACCAAAACCACAAACAAAGTAGCTCAAAAGGACCGTCAATCCAAAAAAGTCAGGGTTTGGACCAAAACCCTCAAAAAATGCATACCACAGGGACCATTTTTGCAATTTTGTGGAGGAGAAAATACCGAGAGTTTGAAGGTTATTAAATCAACATATTTACCTCTTGTGTCTATTTAAATTGTTAGGCAGGATAGGACAGGATATGAAAATCAGTCTTTTTGTTTTTTTAAATGGACACTTGTTAAAATTTGACATTAGATCGTTTTTTAATAGTATTAGTTGTTTGGTTTTTCATTCTATCACGACCAGATAAACGTTTTCTACGCAACATGTTATTATTTTAAACTTATAAAAAATAAAAAAGAAACAAGTGAAGGAAACGAAACCATATAAATTAACTTTTTATTAAAAAAACTAACATGAAAGAATTGATAAACAATAACTAAATCTTATAATTCACATGAATAAAAAATCAGATTAAGATGAATGAGTAATCAGATTAAGATGAAATAGAAATCAAAAATTAAATCGGTAAGGCTACATGAAATCAGATTAACACGAATTGGAGATCCATTTTTTTAAGGATGCATGAAATTTTATTATCAAAATCCGTGTATTAAGAAAGATCGAATTAGAAATTAGAAAACATAAATTGAAATAAAAAATCAAAAGAATGCGTAAAAAACAAGAATCGATTAGTTTGTTACCATTGAAAGAAATCAGAATTGATTAATAAAGTCCCTCAATCGATGGTAGTGAAAGGCTAAATGAGATGATTATTTTAGAAGAATTGCACATCCCTAAGTATGTAGTGCTGATTTTGTTTTGACCTCATTTTCTTTCATTTTTCCACTCAATCGTTATACATGATATATCAATTTTTTATATGTATACTAACATATTAATGTATATAAAAATGAAGCCCTAGAAATTTAGAGGTCTTGGGTCATCGCCCATGCTGCCCCACCCATTGGCACGAACCTGGATGAACCCACATCCCTTTCTTGCAGTATGATCTTCGTGGTGGGGACTTGAAAGATGAAATCAGATATGAAACCGCCACTTCCTTCGATTTCTAGTTTGAATTCTTCAAATCCCCTTTCTTTAGTTTTCTTTCCATCACGTCTCCAAAGTAGCATCTGAATGCGAATCATTACACAATATTTTCTGAAAAATGTGATTATAGTTTCTGTTTGGGTGAAGAGATGAAGAAACCTAAAATACATATATGCAAACATAATGTGAATTTGGTGTGGTTGATTTAGTTTGGGTGAAGAAATGCATATATGAATGGGGTTCATTGGTTGGCAGATGATGAGTATGATGAGTTCCAGGATGATTTGAGAGAGAGAGAGAGAGAGAGAGAGAGAGAGAGAGAGAGATGTGGGCGTAAGTTATTTATTTTATTTTTCCTTTTTGTTTGAAAATAGATTTAAATAAAGAAAATCAAAATATATTAAAATGGCAAATAAGTTTTTTTTTTTAAAATTTTTTTAATTTTATGTGGGTGAGTGACTATTTATCAAACGTTTTGAAACCACAAGGACTATTTGTTAAAAGTTTTGAAACCATAAGGACCATCTAAGAGAGATTTTTTAAACTTATGGACTATATTCCAGATTCGGGAAACTCCAGGAACCATTTATGAGGTTTTGTCTTTATGATATGTAATCATGGGTGTTGTGATATGTCCTTGAGCTTAACGCCGTCTGTGGTGTTTTTTCCTGAGAATCACATCAAAGAAAGAAATAACGTTAGTCGTTGTCTGGGAGGGGGCCCTGGAACGAGACTCCAACGGGCTAGTCAGTCGTTGAATGAGAGAATTAAGGTTTAGTTTGAGAGAGAGAGAGAGAGAGACGACCCCTTCTTCTGGAGAAGAAGGGCTTCCTTTATACATGCTATCGGGGGAGCATGTCCCCGACAATATTTTTTTCTTTTCTGGACTGCCAAGGCGTGGAGGCATCCTATTGGTTGATCGTGCACCACTAACGGTTACCAGCTATCGGTGCAGAACCACCGAAGAGCAGCGCCCTAAGCGCTCCACTTGTCGCTCTAGGAGGTGATTGGTATTGTTTTGGCTTGTTATGGACTGGAGCCAATTGTTCTGAGCTAGATCTTGGTACTAGAATGTGGGGGCCCAAGTACGAGGCCACGAGGGCAAGGGACTGACCTAGCACTTAAGCTAAGTAGCGATAGAACCGGTACG